GCCCTTGCCCCAGCTATCAGCGAAAGTTCAGCTTGCTCCTAGTAGAGCCTCTGTCTTCTCACTGTGTAATAAGAGTTCACACTGGCTTATTGCTAACTTTTAAATTTTTATGGGTGTCAGTCATTACTCACTGAATGCCCCAAATTCCAGTGGACACGTCAATTGCTTTGAAAGCTTCCCCTGAGCCACTACCCCTCCCACCTTAAGAACTCAGACAACTCTCTAAGGATATACTCTTTGCCAATATTGAACTTTGTAATAAATTCTTAGCCTTATTTTATGAAAACTGGAGACAATTGATAAGCTAGGTGTCATGAAACCCGTCTTCCAAAATCTTTGTACATCCTGTGCAGATATATAGCAAGTATTTTTTCACAGCTTCTTAAGGCCAAACCCCCAGATAGCAGGAAAAGTCTCTTTTGCTAACCTGTTTTATATAACATATTTTATACACGGAGCATTTGTTAATGTGTTATCGGAAGTATGTAGATTAATACTGCCTGAATACTGCCTGGCAAATAATGACCTTTCAATAAATAGGTGTCGAACAAATATTTATACTTAGCAAGGTGCCCCATCATTCCCCAGGGTGTACAATCACCCATGATATGATGTGTAATAAACTCAACTTGTTCAACTATAGGTGCTTCACTGGGGTCTTTGCCTGGGGGCATTGACTCCTGTTATCACAACAAGATTTAAATGCTGTTTTCATTCACTCTTCTCATCAATTTGTTCTTAGGTGAACTTTAAAATAAACCTGCCAATATCTCCCAAACCCCCCAAATGCTATTGATACTTTTCACTTTCTTAAAAGTACAGAATAATGTAGTAAGAACTGATATCTTTCCAATATTGAGTCTTCTCTTACAGAAATATATCTAGTCATTTATACATATCATGGTTTATGAATTTTTTGTAGTTTTATTCACATAATGTATGTGAATTGTCAAATTTATTTCTAAGTAATATATAAGAAGATATGCCCTGATATATAAGTGAAAAGATGCATTTTTATGAATAAGCTCTCCCATATACACTAACCTTGAAAGTACAAGTACTATATCTGCCCTTTTCACTATTGTATCATTAGATCCTGGCAGGATGCCAGACATACTCAAGAAATACTTGCACATGAATGAATTAGTCATTCTTTCATTTATTCTTTTCCCTTAAATGAGCTGTTAAAAACTAAAAGATGTCTTAGAAAATCCTTGACTGCTATTGTTTTGTCAAATTTTCCTTGCATATTTAAAAATATTCATTGAATATATTTACATTATATATTATTTGGTGCATCAAGGTTCATAACTGTTATATCAGAATTGTGGATTTTTCATTTAAAATAAAATTACCATCATTGTCCACTTATTGCTTTTTGGAATTGATTTCTATTTTGATTCATGTGGCAGTGCCCAAGATGTTCTTTCTGTTGGTATTACCTAGCATAGTTTTGCCCAATTTTTAACCTTTTATTGAAATTCTAGTAAAAACTATTTCTAGTAAAAACTATACATTTTGCATTTTGGTTGTTTTACCTAATATGAACCTGTAGCCTCTAAATGGAGACATGCCATATATATTTCTCATGTTTTTTGTTTGTATGTTTTCTTCTGTTTCTTTCATTATATGATATTTTATGAAAGTCCTTTACTTTCTTTGTTCTATTTCCCTAATAAGATAGAAAATATATATTGTGTCTTAGTGAGACATAATCTTAGATATTTAGAATCACAAACTTTCTCAATACATAAGTGTAACAAAGGAAATAATTTACTGGTTCCCACTTATATGAAATTAGGGAGAAAAGCACAGTTTTACTCTCCCTGCACCCTTGCCACCAATTCCCAACAAACACTTTTTTAAAAATCTGAGACTGCAGAACCAGAGCATAGGCACTAATTTTGTTTACATTATATATCTTCTTTGTCAAGAATTATTTCTAATATTTTAATTTTTATGTGATCCATATTTACAATAAGTGTTTATTCATAATGCTATATTTAACTAGTTTCAAAGCTTACCACAGCTTTTATACCACAATTTTTCCATTCTTGAGTTTTTGTTTTTATTTATCTCTAAGTTATCCAGAAGACATGTTTAAAGATTTTTCTCCACAGTAAAATACATGCATGTGAGCAGTATACTTTCTGATCATGTTCATGGGACAATTATTCTTCCAGATTTCAGGTAAACTTTCTTATCTTCTGATGCTCAGGTTTTTGTGTGAGAAGACTGAGGTCAGGGTAATCATTGTTCCTTCACACTTACTTTATTTTCCCCTTGCCTGTATTTATGCAGTATTTTAATTTTTCTTGTCTAGAGATAGGTGTGATTTGCTCTAGAACAGGGCTGTTCAAAACAATTTTCTATGAAGATAGAAAGGTCCTCTATCTGTGCTGTCCCATACATTAGCTTCAGTAGTGATCCACCACATGTACCTACCGAATACTTAAAAAGTGGCTACTACAAATTAATTTTACTTTTAATTAATTAATTGATTCAAAGTTAAATAACTACATGTGAGTTACCTTACTGGATAGGACAGCTCTAGAATGTTCTAGGACAATGAGAGAGAAATGGAGTTCTGTTTCGTGCACTCTCTCACCTTGTTTTTAACTTTCCCAATCAACTCTCCCCTGCTTGAAGGAATTGGATTTTCCTCCGTTTCTCTTGGCTGGGAGTACAGATCTGAAATCTTCTTGCTTTTGGTTATTTTTCCTTTCAGATTTCTTGTAGTGGTCTAAATTGCTCTGTCCCCTTGGATTACCAATGGAACTGTCACTTTGGCTTCACTCTTTCTTCTTCCTTCTCCTCTTTCCCAGCTTCCTCTTCCTCAGAGCATAGGACTGGAGCTATTTTTTCACCACCATATTTGACTGGTGCACGAGAGTACTGTAAAAGTAAGTACGAGATTTTGCTCAGACCGTAGAGGCTCCGTCATCTGGATGAAGATGTCGAATTGCTTAAGATGGATGCAGAGTTGGAATTGGCAGCGTAGTATAAAGGAGTTTTTCTCTGTGTAGCGGATTTCTTGGGTTCTAGGTTTCCTAAGCTCTCACGCTTCCTCCTGGGCTGGTCTGTCCATTCTTTCGAGAAGCTTGTTTTTTTTTTTTTGTTTTCGTTCTTAATGAGCGTTGATGAGTTGGTCGTGCTGCGGCCAACAGCGAGCATCAAAAGAGACCTGCAAACTCAGCCTTGCAGCTGTGGCGCCGACAGCAAAATATCACCCCTTGAACATTCCCACCACGCTAGACCTACATAACAGATAATATGTTTACAATCTTTTTTTAAAAAAAAAAGAATAAATTAATACTTTAAGTGATTAGGCGACACACGAGCTGATTTGAAAGTTAAGTGTCAATTGACTAACGACCACGCTCATGCACATCCAGCCTTGACTGTTTCAGGTCCTGAGCTTTTGTTCGTGTGTGTTCTCCCATCTGTCCCTTTGGACTACCAGGATGTTGCTTTTCTCTTTTTTTTTTTTTTTGAGTTTGAGTCTGATTGTTGCTCCCGGTAGTTGATGTGTTCTGTCAGCTCTTAGCTCAGATCAACCTCAATATCTGTCATTGCTATTCCTTTGCCTCAGCCTCCAACGTAGCTGGGTATCTGCTATGCGCTCTCTATGCCGGCTAAGGTTGGTTCTCGTATAGTATATTAGTTGCAATTATATTTATAGTAGACACGGTCGTCGCTCTGCCAGCTGGTTTCGAACTCGTACCTCGAGCAACTCCACCTGCTCGCCTCCCAGTCTCTAGCTATAGCATCCGCCCGCTTCTTTCTTTCATAGCGTTTCAGTCCTATGTTGCTATTGATGCTCATATACGCTTCTCCTTCTCTCCTCTCTAAGACAGTTAATTCTATAATACGAGGCTCAGTGGATGTGAGGTGAACTTAGAAAGTACCGAAACCTATCCTTAGAGGCAGTTGCCAGCATCAGAGTCCACCTCTGGTCGAGCGGTCGAGGGTGGCGTCTATAGCAAGTCTACAGTTCATGTAGCGGAGGAAGGGTTTATGCGCTTCCATGACAGACCTTTCCATCTCTGGTTCTGCTCTTCCTTTGCCTCTACAGTCCCTGCCTAATTGTACTACAGTGTCCTGTAGCAAGGCTGTGGTTGATCTTGAAGATCCTTTCGGAGGTCGCCTGCTCATCGGCGAGCCAGCTGGCTAGCTGCCCGTTGATCTGGTAAGTCAATCCCTCTAGGGGCCTCCCGACCTTGGAGTTCGGTGTTGTGCGACAGGAGCACCGTAGTGCTGCCGTGAAGCTGTCACCATGCCTGCAAGGTGGGAGGATCAAAGTTGTCTGTGGCCTCATGGGCACTCCAGGCTTTGTTCTATCAGAATTCTGGTTTCTGGGCCGGGGACGGTGGCTCACTCCTGTAACTACGCACTGTGGGAGCGCTGAGGCGAAGGATTATGAGGCTAGAGGATTAAGATTTAGCGGTTCCGGGTCTGAGCAAGAGCCCGACCTTGATCTCTACAATAGTAAGAAGAAAAAAGAAAGAAAATAGCGGCTTGGTGTGCTCTGCTGTAGTCCAGCTCGTACTTGGAGCTGAGCAGAAGGATAGCTGAGTTGAGATTTGAGGTTCTAGTGATCTATGATGATGCCACTGCACTCTAGCAGAGGTGACAGAGCGAGACCTTATCTCAAAAAAAAAAAAAATTCTGTTTTTTTTTTGGAGACCATCTTATGGTCTCCACCATAAGATGACCTTCCCTACATTCTACTTCTTGCTTACTTAGAAACTCAAATTTGTCAGTTACCTTTCCACTCTTTGAGGCTGGGGACAGTAAGAGGGTATATAGGTCCTTAAACTCTCTGTGCCTAAAACTTTCAGCCTCTCTGGTTCCTGGTTCATAAGGCAAGTACTGGATCCAGGGAAGAGCCTGCTACACCTCCTGGGGCAGGTGCGCCCTCCTCCCACCTGCAGCGCGACCCAGCTGGGCGCCGTGTGATGACGTCATCACGCCAGGGCCCCCATGGGCTCTGCTGACTGGTTGGCAAACCAAGATGGAGGCCGGCAGCAGGGAGGGATTTCTCACTTCAGAAAGTCTTTCCAAGTGTCTCTTCCCCTCCTTTTCCGCCTATCTAGCCTCCTCCTGCTTTCCACCTTCCTTTTCCTCCCTCCCCCCTCATTTCCTGATGAAAACTAGAGGTCAAAGATCACGTTAGTGGATGAAAAGAGAATGCAAATGAGAGAAGCTGATCGTGATAGCAGGTAAGTTTGTCTGGGAAAGGAAAAACTAGTGTGTACCGTGTTTCCCCGAAAATAAGACAGGGTCTCATATTTATTTTTCCTCAAGAAGAAACCCTAGGGCTTATTTTCAGGGAATTTTTTTTTTTTTTTTAAGTACGGTACAACAATCTACATTTATTCAAATATAGTGAAGTCGTCGTCTTCCGGAACATCATCATCACTCTCCAAACCCCAAATTCCATCCTGAATGTCTTGCGACTCTATTTCCTTTAGAACCATTGGCCCCAATCTCTCATGTGGAGCAATAGAGCTCTCATTAAATGAGCAGGGCTGGCTTATTTATCAGAGATCCAGCGAGCACTGGGTCCAGTCTGCACAGTGGAGAAGAAATGATCTCTCTGGCCTCAGTGGGAGACTGCTTGCTGAAGCTTTTCCCCTGTCCCCTGGTGTCTGTGGGGGGTGAGAGAGGCCCACAGTGCTGACGAAAATGGCAGCCACAGCTTTCCTTCTGCCCCCTGGGGACACACAATACCTAAAGCACAGCATCCCGCTCCTCACTTCACTGAGGAGACTTGCCCCTCAAAGCCTCAGCTCGCAGCACGCACAGGATGGCCCAGACCTGACGGGGAGCCGACCTTGTTGGTGGGGCTGCCCACAACTCTCCGGTCACCTCTGAGATAGTAGCTGTCACGATGGGGCAGATGAGAAGGGCTGCTCATCTTCTTTACCACTCCACGACAAAATGCAAGGGTTGTGCAGATACGCTGCGTAGCCACGCCCATCACTAGGTCTTATTTTCAGGGTAGGGCTTATATTGCGCAAATGCTTAGAAATCCTGCTAGGGCTTATTTTATGGGTAGGTCTTATTTTCAAGGAAACACGGTATGTGGGGAGGGGGTGTGCTGGTTGCTTTTATCCTCTAAGTTTGATACTTTTGCAAGCATGTATTTACCTGTACATCTCATTTTGTTAATTTTCTTTGGTAGCTATTGAAGGGAAATTTAACCTTTTACTTTGAAGCTTTGATTGTAGGATTCTATAAAACAAATTGATAATAGATTAACAGGACAAGGCATACAGAGTTTATTAATATGCATACGTGCACAGGAGTCATACAAATATGAAAAACTCAAAGAAATGGCCAGATGGATGACACTTTTATACCTTCTTTTTTATTTTATTTTATTTTTGAGACAGAGTCTCGCTTTGTTGCCCAGGCTAGAGTGAGTGCCGTGGCATCAGCCTAGCTCACAGCAACCTCACACTCCTGGCCTCAAGCAATCCTGCTGCCTCAGCCTCCTGAGTAGCTGGGACTACAGGCACATGCAGCACCATGCCCGGCTCATTTTTTTTCTATATATATTAGTTGGCCAATTAATTTCTTTCTATTTATAGTAGAGACGGGTCTCCCTCTTGGTCGGGCTGGTTTTGAACTCCTGACCTTGAGCAATCCGCCTCAGCCTCCCAGAGTGCTAGGATTACAGGTAGGGGCTTGGAGCTTGGAGAGACAAGTTATGGGAGGGAGAGAAGAGCAGGAAAGACTTGGAGCAAAGGCAGTTATGCAGATGAAACCTCACAGGTAGAAGCCCTCAAAAGGAATAAATGGTAGCTGGTAAATGTCTCTCTGTCAGACATTTAAAGGTGTTATACTCTCAGTTAATCTTTCCTAGATCTGGACAAGAGAGGGCTCTGAGAAAGCCTGTTTGCACCTGTTGTTTACTTCATTGTATTTTCTCTACAGATGCAAATCTCCCCCACAAAAGACAGCTTTGCAGAACTATTTGTGTTTTTGCAGGCCCTTTGAATAGTCATCTCAAAATATGTCAAAGAAGTACATTTTGGAGTGAAATATTATATTTTTGGTTTCCTTTACTATTTTGATGTTCAGTTTTAAATCTCTTTTGAGCTTGAAAAAATTTACTTTGATTATGCCTTTATTTTATTTCTTCTCTTTCATATGTTCTGTTATCTTCTTATTGAACATCAGTTATCTGCATCTTAAATCTCCAATCTCTGTATTCCATAACAATGCTCACTCTTACAATTTCTGTTCTCTCCACATTCTAGAAGAATGTCTACAATATGTCACCCACAATTCAATACAACCCAGTGCTGATTTGGCTCCTTGTTGCAATTAATACCAATTTAATTATCCTATTGTGCTGTCACTTGTGGTGCAGTCTTGCTCTATCTCTTTCAGTTCTCTTTTTATTTCTGCCTGTCTTTCAGCCAGCACTTTTTAAATTTCAGTGTTCTGTTATTTTTTGTCAACTCTCATCCCTTATTTTGAAGTCTAATTTTATGAATTTTCTTGGGAGTATACTCTGTGAAATTTACCTCTGTATCCACTTATGAATTCTATTTGGAAATGCTTTTATCTTCTGCAGCTAAAGTTCTCATTTACATTACAGAATATTTGCATGGACTCTATCTTGTTTGCTTTTCCTTCCTTCCCCCATTGCTTCCTTCCTTCTTTAGGGAAGGCAGATCCATTCACCAAAGGGGGGGGGATACTGATTGGTTCTGCTTATTGATTGCTTTCTGACTCCTCCTTCTAGATCACAAGAAGGAGTGCTATAAGGTACACAGACCCAAACCCAATTTCCAGTGCATTATAGCCTTTTATTTAGAATGGCTGGCCTGAACAATCTTTTCTGTTTTACTTGGTTATCTTCCTATTAGGAGCAGACTTTAATCTGTACAATTTGACGCATCTGTGGTTCTCCACTTATCAGGAATGACAAGTGAAAAATTATAGCTCCCTAAGTGCAACCCCTGCAAATTTCAGCCCTTTCTGTTTAAAAACTTGAGGTTTGGATTAAGCTTAAGCTTGTTATCCAAAGTGAGGTGACACAAGATCAAGAAAACGGGCTCCACATCTACTCGCCATCAAATTGGTGCTGACTGATTAAAACTATGGTGCTCAGATGGTGGTAGTGCCCACCAGGGTTTGGGGGAGGGGGAGATTCACATCTTAGGGTTGTGAGGAACATTGTGGGGGTGAAAAATAAATAAATGAATAAATAAAATAAAAACTTGAGATCTGACTTATAAAGCACTACCCACTCTCCATTATAGCTGTCAATTATATTTCATAGTTAAAAATATTTGGTAGAATCATGTCAAAAGAAGGGATAAGAGGAGTGTTGAATCAGCCCTGCTCAATAGAAGTTTGGTTTCTTCCCTTTGAAAATTTTAAGACCTCTCTTCTCTGAGCTATGAGTATATAAGGATTTGATGAATTGAACACCCTACCAACTTTTCTCTGTGTGGCCTTGTCATTCTGCCTCACCACTTCATGTAACCTATGGTACGTGGGAATTCCTCATTAAATTTGGCATGCTGTAGAAGAGGCACCCTCAAACTACGGCCCTCGGGCCACATGCGGCCCGCCGAGGACATTTATCTGGCCCCCGGGTGTTTTTGCTACCGCTGCCTGTCCCGCTTAGCAGCCAACTGGTCCGGGGCCCACAGTGCGCATGTGTGGAATGTGCGCTGCACTCTCCAACGGCCCTCCAAGGGTCTGAGGGACAGTGAACTGGTCCCCTGTTTAAAAAGTTTGAGGACCCCTGCCCTAGAGTCAAGGATTTAGAACATTCTTTTGTACATTTGAAAATTTGCTTACTTTGCTGCATTTTCTCAATGATAAGATGAGGTTGAGTAGGAGGCAAATTAGACATCTTTCACGTTGCCACGCATAGTGGTCCAAGTCTGGTTAAGCAAATGCATGTGTTGGTACAGATGCTCTTTGCCCTAGTGATGCACCTCTCCCTTCAAAGGAAAGTGGGCCCATATTCACGATCATAAGTGATAACTGAGTGTTGCCTTAGCAACTCTCAGGGACTCCAAGAGGGGCTCACTGTTTAACAAAAGCTCATTTTCCCTAGCTGATTCATGTCACTCCATATGCCTTCAGTATTCCCCGTGTCTGTTTGTGACAGCAATAATTTATTCATTCATTTGGTCAGCAAATATTTTACCAGGCTCTGTGTTAGGCACTGGAGGTATACTAATAAGAGACACATAGTCATTGCCTTCATAACACATAGTCGAATGACAGGAAAGCCAGTGAACAGGTTGATGAGCAAAGAAAGCAATATTTATAAAAGTTGTGTTCCTCACTACGAAGAGAGTAAACTGTGAGTTATAGTAGAGAATGCAGAGGTTATTAATGTAAATAAGGTGGCTAGAAATTCCTCTGTTTAAATTGAGAAAAGTGAGGCACGACCACTTTTATGACATGGTGTGAGGAAGAGAATCTGTGTCTCATGCAGAATTGCAAGGTGAAAGGCTCTAAAGTAGAAACCAAGTGAGTGATTGGAGGATGGTGGGAATGTAGTCAAATAATGAGGTTTGGAGAGGTAGGCATTGCGGGGGGCCAAGGGAAACTTCCCCTTCACCTTCCAAAGGTTCGCTAAAAAATCAGCTCATAAAAAGGCAGATTCATTGGAGAAAAGGCATACACAATTCATCAACGTGTACATGGGGAGAATCACAGAGTGACTATCCAACCCCCTAACGTAGAAGCTTATGTACCATCTCGAGGTTACAGAAAGAATGGGCTTGGATCTTGGCAAAACAGGTTATGGCAAAGGGGAAGGTGAGGCCTGACTAGCAAAGGTGGTCTTGTTACACAGGTGAAACCTCACAGGTAGCAGCCTCCAGAGAGAATAGATAGTAAATGTTTCTTGCAGACTCGAAAGTGTCAGACTGTCAGTTAATCTTTCCTAGATCCAGACAGGGGAAGGTCTGGCTGCATCCATGCGGATTCTCTGCAGATACAAATTCCACCCACCCCCCAGACGACAGCTTTGCAGGGTTACTTCTGTGTGCTGGCTCTCTGAGCAGTCCTCTCAAAATATGTCAGAGAAATATATTTTGGTGGAAAATATTTTGATTTCCTTCAGCATAGACCAAAACATGCAGATTTTGAAAGTAAGGAACATGGAATAAATTCTAAGTACTGTGTAAAGCCATTGAAGAATTTTAAATAGGGAATAACATGACATTTTACATAATGTGATCTATTTCAAAAATGTGATTCTGGAGTAGGGAATGGACTGGGGATATGGAGCAAGAGTGGAAGCAGGAAGACCTTTTAGGTTATTACTATATCCACACCAGAAGTGGACACATTTGAAATCTATTCTGGAGGTAGGATTAAGAGGGCTTTCACGAGTTTGGATGTAGGATATAAAGTACAAAAAGCAATCAGGGATACCTTTAGCATTCTTGCTTGAGCACCTGAGTGGACAACAATATCTTTTGCTAAGATGTGGAAGACTGTGAGAGGAAGAGGATGTTTTGTCTAGTTTTGTTCTTTGAGACGGGGTCTTGCTATGTTGCCCAGGCTGGAGCACAGTGGCTATTCACAGATGCAATCATGGAGCACTAAAGCCTCAAACACCTAGACTCAGGCAGTCCTCCTGCTTCAGCCTCCCAAGTACCTGGGACTACAGGAGCATGTCCAGTTAAAGAAGGTTTTATAGGGGAAAGAGAAAGCAAGAGTTTATGTTTGAACATGATGCTTTGGGGAAGTCAATGGGTCCAACATGTAGTTGAGTATGTGCCTAGAGTTCATTCCAGATGTCTGGACTACTAGAGATAAAACTTTTACAGTCATAGAATATGACTGTAAAACATATATATATGTTTTACATAAAACATATATAAAACATATATAGAGATAGATAGATAGAGAAAGAGAGAGAGAGAAAGACATATGAGTAAAACATATCATCCAAAAAGAGATGGTAAGGAACCAACATTTAGAAGTTTGGTGGAAGAGGCATGGCCTGCAAGTGCTACTAAAGAGGAGAAAACAATATGGTGAAAGGAAAACTGGTGCAGTGTAGTCATGCAAAAGCCAAGAGGAAGGGAGCAGCCTTTGTGTTGGAGCTGCTGAGAGTTGAAGAAGATGTTATGTCTTCAGACGTCATAATCACAAAAGTCATTAGTGATCTTGACAAGTGCAATTTCTTTGGAATGGGGGTGGGAGTTGGAGGAGGATGAAAGAAAGTTGATAAAAAGGTCAAAGTAAAAATTAATTTTAAATGAAGCAAGATAAAATCATGAATGGCAATTGAGCAGGTAGGATAGAGCATGTATTGACAATTATGCAAGAGTTCCGACAATATTTCAAGAGTTCTGGCTTTCAAGGGGGCACAGGAATGGGACCATATCTTAAAGAAGACAAGCAATTAAAGGAAGTTTTTAAAATATGGGAGATTCTAGCCTGTGTTTGTCTACTGATCATAGTGATGCAGGAAGAGTGAAAGAGACTAATGGTGCAACCCAGAGAGAGTCTGTCTGTTAAGAGTGATATTCCTGGGAGGTTGAGAAGGAACAGGCTCTAGCACACAAACAAGAAATTGGATTCTGATAACTGGAAGGAACTTTTTAGTTATTGCAGTAGGAGGAATGAGGAAAAACAATGGATGCAGGCAAATATATAGTCTTAAAAACCATATCAGAGTTTGCCAACCCCTCCCTATCTGTTAGCAGTTGGAGTAAAGACTGCGTCACATGCTCAGAGCAGCCATCAGAAGGGCGACCATATCCCGACTATGCATAAATCTGAACCAGCATAGTCAAACAAAGACTAAACCAGCCAGATTTCTCTTTGTTACCTGAATCGAAGAACTGTGGATTCTAACTTCTCTAGCTGCTTTCTGGAGGTCATCTGCCAGACCTTGGATAGCAATGCAGACACAGTGGCAAAGCTAAGTTCCATTCAGCATCTGTAATAGCTTTGTCTGATTTACTCATGTGTTGTATACCTGTTGCTATGAATCCTTTCTTATTGATGTTATAAAAACTCAAGTTTGTGTATGCACATGGACATAGAATGTGGGATAATACACATTAGAGACTCAGAAAGGTGGGAAGGTGGGAGGGGAGTGAGGGATGAGAAATTACTTAATGGGTACAATGTACATTATTCAGGTAATGGTTACACTTAAAGTCCAGACTTCACCACCGAGAAATATATCCATGTAGCAGAACTGCACACGTCTCCCTTAAATTTATACACAATTTAAAAAAAAAAAAAAAGAAAGAAAAACCATCATTTTGTTTTAGTGACAAGAATTTGAAGTTGTCACTTTTGTTTGCAAAATCCACACACAGACTGGGAGAGGAATGCAATATGTCTTTTGAATATAGAAACACTGCACCAAAATGCTAAAGAACAAGACAACAGCATGGCTTGGAAACCACTCTTTGGTATACATTTTTAAATATTTTTTTATATTATCTTTAATGCAGTGCCTGGGATGTTGAGCCTGGCTGGTTTTGCTAGCAGACACTGACAAATTCCCTTATAGATACCTCTGACAACCCAGAGCCCACCAGTTACCAGCTTAGAGTAATATTTATGGACACCTCTGAACTCAGTCACACAGCAAATAAGACATACAGAAGAAAGAAAAGCAAGGACAACTATTAAATGACACTTGCCTTATTTTTTCATATTTCTTAGGCATGAAGTCAAGGGTTAAATGAACACATTAAGGGGAAGAAATGCCTGCTATTAGGGAAGAATGAATTGTAGAATAGTAAAGAAAAATTTCAAGAAATATCACATAGTAGAGGATTTTCTCTCCTCAAAATGAAGCGTCATTTTAGGTTTCCACCTACATATGTCAATTTAATTATAAAACAGATTTTATAAATCAGAAGCAATAATGGGGTGCCGGGTGAGTGGGTGTGTGTGTGTGTGTGTGTGTGTGCATGCATGTGTAATTTTTAAATATTCAGTGTGCACATTTTGCACTCTAGAGAATTAATCAAACTGTCAGGTCCAAGACCAAAAACTGAGAAGCACACACAGTGGTATGTCATGGTAACTTAGCAACCGGAGCTGAGGAGGTTAAGACAGAAATTGCTGTCATTTCCTTATATTTAAGAATTTCTACCTTATACTCTCCTTTCTCCCTTCCCTCCTTCAACACACACATTCTGATTCCTCCAAGGGGTAGTTCACTGAATTATATCTTTTATATATTTTAATGATCTCTCTTGTGCATGACCATTTCTATTTGTGGCAGATAATGGGAATCACCTGCTGAGTACTGAATTTCAGAACATCTGTGGATACTTCATTGATCAAGACTAAGTCTTTTGCACATAGCACAGGTGTTACCAACTGGACTCATCATTTCCCATCAGATCATTGAGAACAATGCCTGTATGTGTGTGCAGCACCAAGGGGCATAACCAGTGCCGTGACGGATCTGTTCTGGTACTAAAGGGTAGTCACTCTGTCACAATTACAGTCGAGCACCTGGAAGGGCACCACCATAGCACCTTCACAGGCTGGGTTATGTCCTCAAGGTCAAAGAGATTCTGGCTTAAAATATATTATAAAAGGAGCTCTTTATTCTTGAAACTTGAGCAAAGAGAAAATAGGAAATATTTACGAACAAAGAGGAAAAAAGCAGTATTGTAGGGTACTTAAAATGCTAATATATTTAATGGTTTGTGTAAGTTCCTGAATGGCCTTGGATAGTGAGAGCGTCTTGTCCCATCCTTCCCAGTCTCATCAATACTGGCCTGTCACGCCGAGCCCTCGTTACACCAGGCTCATGTGGAGGTACCAGTTGCAAAGGTGAAGTGGCAGCGGCTGCCTGATCCCACTTCTCCCATGCTGACCCTAGAACAGGTTGTTTACGAGATCACATGCTCCCTTTAGGATGGCCATGGCTGGTGGACCAGTCATGTTCTCAACTGTAACATGATTGTGCTGGATTTTTGATGAGACTTCTCACAACAACAGCCACAAAAAGTCAGAATCTCAAGGGACCACGTCAGAAAGAAGAATGTGATGTTGCCACCCATAGTCTTCCCGTCTTATGACTTAGTCTGGGCTCTCCTATTGTCCCTGGCCCTGCTCTGGTGGATCCAAAGCAGCTCTGGCCTCACGGGCCCATCGTCCCCAAGACTTAAACTCTGAACCAGGAGTCAGATGTTCATTGGTTTATTTACTCTTAAGATAGCAAGAACGTAATTATTGGTTCATTATTTTAATTAAGAAGACAGAAGTAATTCAAGAAGTGAAAGTATTTAGAGGCCAGGATTTAGTGGAAATTACAAGGCTTCTACTTATGATTTTACGATTTCTTTTGTGTGTTATTTTGTTAAATCATAGTTCTGGCACTTCCTAAAGAAGTTAGTGCTTTTAAAATATTTCCCTCCTTTCCTATGTGAGTTGGTATCAGTTAGACTTATAGAAATCACGTATACAGGCAGAGATAGGTAGATAGAAAGAGGCAGAAGAAGAAAAAAGCTATGGGGCTTCTCTCTGGTCTCCTCCTCTACTGATTTGTGTTTTTTGTTATTTGAGTACGTACTTAACAGGCCTCAAAGTTGCTGGCCATGGATAGTATCCAGCTCCTCCTGCTCGCATCTCAAGTCTGATGATCATCCCACTGTGTTTTACTACCCTTACTTGAGACAGCTTTGCTCCTTTTTCTATCATGGATGGGGCTGTTTCAGGACACCTTTGTTCTCTGTGTGGCCTTGTGTTTATTCATTTAAGAAGTGTTAATTGAGGTCCTCAGGGGCCAGATTCCACAGCCTCAGAAAGTAACAGGTCATTCTCCTTACCCTCAACCAGCTCAAAAGACATGAACTTCATGTTGTGAAGTACCCACATCAACCCCAGGGCCGTGCTGTCTTTGAACTCTGCTCCCTAAGGAACTCAGTCCTGGGTCCAGGAGCACACTGGTCACCATGCCTGTCCTCTGAGTCAGCGATGCCCAAGGCAAGGTGTATACACATCCCGGATTACAGAAGATGATTCTCTGGAGGATAGGAAAGAAATATCAGAACTTCCTTTAATGTTTTTTTTTTTTTTTATCCAGGGTTGAAATTACATTATATGTGAAATCACATTGGCACACTTTCATTTTTTCCTCCTTTCAGGGTGTCACATGTCACACACAGTGTGTGCAAGAGGCCTAGAAGAAGGAACACTGGCTTTGCCACACAGACTAGTGGTGGTGTCCTCGTTTGCTTTTAGGCTGCTGGGATATCGTACAGTTCACACGTGCCCAGGTAAGTGGATTTATAAATTAGATTGTCTAGATTTAACTAAAACTGACCCTCCAAAATGTGGAGCTGGCTTAATATATTCTTGACAAAAAAAAAAAAAATGCCACTGATTAAAGATAATAATGCAAAGGGCAAAGGAAAACAACAACAAAAAAACGTGATCGAGATACTCTACCTTTCTTGCATATTCTATTTGTAAGTTTTACAAGGGGAAAACAATGGCAATGTATGGGCACTCACAAGAAGTTAGCAGCATTTTCATTTTAGAAAGTATCAGAAAATCTTTTGGAATGTGGATTTATCCACTGTCATGAATGCTCCTTGGTTGTGTCTCTATAACTCCAACCTAATTGAATATTGTTCCTTAGGATGTAGCTAATGCCAGTTTATGTGCATGTAACTTGGGAATAAATATCTATGCACTTATTGGGTAATATTCAAAACCATTTAAGACATGGGTCAGATCTACTTACCATTTCATCCGCTTGCCTACTCTGACCAGAACAAATTATGTATCAACCATAGAAAACTTGAATTTTAATGAGAAAAATTATTTCATTAATGCCTCATAGGATACTGCCTCCTACTAAATTTGAAATATACCTTTTCTCTATGGCCTTCCTAGTTTTTTCACTTCTAAAGGCTGTCAGCGTAGCTTTGTCTTTGAATGTGGCAGGATCATGCTTTCCTTCAACAAGTACTCATTAACTGCCTGCTACATTCCATGTGCTGGATGAGGTGTGAAGTATACAATGGCAATAGTCAGCTCGAGATCATTATGTCAAGTGAAATAAGCCAGGCACCAAATTCACATGTTTTACTCTTGTGGGAGCTAAAAAGTGGCTCTCATGGAGGTAGAAAGTAGAATGGTGGTTACCACAGGCTGAACGGAAAAGGAAAGGAGATGAAGAGATTGGTTACGGGACACAAAATACAGTTCAATGGAAGGAATACATTCTAACAGGAAAATTAATAGCTAACTAATTTATTGTATATTTCAAAATAGCTATAAGAATTGTAATATTCCCAATACAAAGAAAGGATAAATATTTGAGGTGATGGATATCCCAGTTACCCTGATTTGAGCATGACATGTTGCATACAAAAAAAAATGTATCAAAATATCACATGCATCCTCAAAATATGTACAACTATGATATATCATTAAAATGTAAAAAGTAAAAAAGAAAGGCATTGTTTTGCCCTCTTTCAGCTTGAAATTTAGCAGGATAATATAATAAGAGAATTAGCAAAGGAATCAAATATTTAACATTGTTTTAAGTCAGAGTTTCCAACCTCAGCACTACTGATATTTGGGACAGATGATGTTAATGCTTTGCGTGGGTCTGTCCTGCATTGCAGGATGTTAGCAGCAGCACCAAGATGTCAACAGCAAGCTCTCCCTCCCCACTATTGTGACAACCAAAAATATCTCCAGATGTTGCCAAATGTATTCTAGGTGCAAAATCGCTCCAGTTTGGAACCACCGTTTATGGACAAAAAGCAGTTGCCATATAGAAGGGACTGAACAAGGGAGATTTACAGGGGCTGTCCGAGAATGCCACTCTAAGGCCAGGGACATGTGAGCTGATAGCGGAGGAACGATCAGAAGCCATCTCCTAATGTGGATGGGGAAGAACTTTGTCTGTAGGCTGCAGAAAAATACCGGTACGCAGGGTGCAAAGGCCTGAGTCTTGAGCTTGGCAGACTCTGGACTTTGAATAAGGCCAGAGTTGCTAGAATATAACGACAAGGTATAAGGTCAATGATGCAGGCACAGGCCATATCACACAAGGCCTCATAGAAAGGAACTTGAGGATCCGTTCAGAAAAAATCCTAATCCTACAACCATTCTGTGCTCAGTCTATGCATTTGAGAAAACTATCATATATAATAACATTACATAGATTTAAGAAATGACAATATCAGAAATCCTAGAGAAGTTATTCTATTAATTGAAGAATTCACACTTTGTGACGGGAGGCATTAGAGAGACACATACAACATTTATGTGTAAAATTGATTTCATGGGCAGAGGGTTGGTGCCTGCAGTGAATATATTATTAGTTAATTTAGAATAAGGTATTCAGATCGTAAAGACTATTCAGGTGTTGTTGCTAGAAATGAAAAGCTGGTCAGGGGAGAAAATTTAGATGCTAAATTGGAAATGCATTTGCCAGTTTCTCTTAGAAAATAGTTGCATGTTGAACTTTGGCCAACCCCAGATCTCTAAATTTACCTGCTTTGGGGGAGAAAGGTACTTGCTCTGCATATTGAACTATTTGGACCTTAGTCTCTTAATCTGTAAAATTCTAGGATCTTTAAGGTCTGTTCAATATCTTAAATGCTTTAATTCTCTGGTTATTTTATATTTTTCCCCCTCGAAGTAAATATAATTTAATTTTTAATGAAATCTTCATAACTACATAGAATAATTGGAGGGGAAAAAAGCTCTCTTTGGCCCTCCTTCTGTGAATTACTCAGATTTGAGTTTGAGATGCTGCTATACAATACCAGACTGTCTTTCATAATTCAATTTCTTTATCAAAACCTAAGGTGAAACTGGCAGGTGTCTTCGGCCTGGCATCCAGCCAAAGATATATCCAGGAGCAATTTGCTGAAAAGAAATAAGAAACTTTATTTTGCCAAACTTCCTTATGCCTGCTGTCTTGAAAGCTATTTCTGCAGGAAAAAAAAAAATCGATAAACGCAGATATAAAAAGCTACAGTTCCTCTGTTCAAGTCCCCGTCACATGTGACCCGGTTTTCTAATCCGCTGTGATGTCTGGACCCTTGTCTCCCAGGGAGAGCCAAAGCGAACCGCTTCTGGGAGACTCCATCTCCATCTGTTTGCAAACCAAGCCTGGTCTGCCCATCAGCAGACATCTGGCGTGGGGACCACGGCACGCCTTCCTCGTGGAGCCTCATTCTGGGACGGGGGCCGAGCTGTGCTCTGTCAGAACTCATCTGAAGACGCAGAGGTCAGTGTTGAGTGGGGTAAACAGATTTGTTTCCAACACTAGGATTAAACAGCAAGCATTCTGGGGACAGCGGGTGGCCTGAGGCTGATGCTGTTTTCTGGAGAAGAAGGACAAAGAGTACAGTTGTCTATTGACTGCCCTTGGAGAAGCTGTCGTAGGGAGGAAGAGTTTTTTGGGGGCTGGAGGGCCAGAGGGAGAGGGAGGGAGAGAAAATGAGTATGTTATTAATAACTAAAAGCTATAGGCTGTTACCAGATCATTCTACAGTAATTCACCTACTCCTTCAAATCCTTCTTAATGTCTTTTCTAAAAGTGCTATTTTTTTCAAGAAACAAGCTAGACTTCCAGTCTATTTTGTTGTCATCTATACCTGCTCTTTGCTGCAGTAGTTTATTGAAGGTACTTCCTGACATCTGGACAAAACCAGTGCTTTCAGAGCCAAATTAAGAATTTTGAGTGAGGGTGTTTCTGTACTCTGGAAAAGAAAATTGATGCCTCTGGTGTATTTGGGGAAATTATGAAGCCTAGGGTTGCTTAAACTTAAGGTAATGTCCATGACAGTTTAAATGGCACAACACAATTACTACTTATTGCTATATCAGTGATGATCCCAAAACTTGGTGGTTAAAACAACATCCATTTATTTAGTTCATCCATCTGTGGGTTGGCAGTTTAAGCTGGTTTCATCGTGTAGTTCTTCTGGCCTTGGCCTGGCACCATTTGCAGTCAATGCATTGATGTGTAAGTAGGCAGGTCTACTAGGGGCTGTGTGTCTGCCAGATGGGGGGCTGGTGACACTGGGCCACATTGCTCTCATCTTCCAACAGACTAGCCCAAGTATGCTTACATGTGGTCACAAAAGTCCAAGAAAGGAAGCAGTGGCCTTGACTTGAAACCAATGTAATATCTATCAGCCCCAAGCAAGTAACAAGCCTTGGCTCAATTCGCCCTGTAGGAAAACACTCTCGGGTTTGATGGAAGGGAGTGACAAGTGCCAAGTGACCTTGTGAAGGATGTGACTACAAAAAGGGCCATTTTCACAATCCACCTCACTACTCAATGGAACATACTATGTGCTAGGTAACTTTCGGGTTTTCACCAATTTTTATAAGAATCCAGAAAGTTTCCCTTTTAAAGTTGAAGAAACAGAGAAACTAAATAACTTGTCTAAGATCATAAATAATAAGCAGACAAGGTCTCTCTTGAACCAGGATTTGTGTGACCCAAAATCTTTATATTTTTTACTCTTATTTCATATATTTCTCTATTTTCATAGTTTCAATTTTGTTGAATTCTGTTATCAAATTCTAACAGCTTTCTTCCTCTCTGTTCAAAATCTTATTAGACTTTATTACTGCATCAGTTTAATTTATTCCAGTTTTCTCTAATTAAAAGAACAGTTGAGAGTTCCTGGATTTTGTCAAGACTAAAACTGAACATTTTAGCCTTCTTAAGTAAAACCCAAATAGTAATCTATACTATAGATTTATGACATAGTGAAAACATTTCTAAATCGAATCATCAATATACTAGAGACTGGGGACAGGTAGATATAATTAAGAAGATGCGAATAAAGAGGCAAGGAATGTTCTAGAATAGATGTGTGATTTTAATGGTTCCCTGTATCTTGATTCTCCCCTGAGAAGGAGGATCCTCTAAGGTAACTGGAGGACGATCCTCCAAGGTAACTGCTTTGCATCCTGAGGCCCCTTGCATGACTAATAGTTGTTTGCCGTTGGTACATCACTTTTCTAGACCTCAATTTCTGCACTTAGAAACTGGGAGTGTTAAACTTGTAAGTACCCTTGGATATAAAATAATCTAACATTCTGATTCACTGCACAGGGACATCTGGAGGAGGGGGCTCACAGGGCTGAAAGTCAGCCAGCCTGCTGTGCTGGCCTCTGCCTGCTAGAACCAAAGGCTACCTCTTCCAGTTTTCAAAGAGTCAGTTTTTAATAAGAATATGAACATTGCATGCACTTACCGAAGGGGTTGCCTTGCTAACATTCTCTTCAATTGCCACGCAGTTAGCCTTGGAATTATCCTTAGTGGTCTCTAGTCTTTGTCTCCAGTAAAATGGGAGTGAGACCTGCAAGAGTTTTATGTTCTCTTCTTGAACTGTGGATTAACATAATTATCACTTCCCTCTAATTAAGTACAAGCGCATGGTGACAGCAGCAATGCCTCATCCTCATAAAAACATCACCTAATGTTCACTAATCGTTAGTGACATTCTCCCCCCTTATACCTGAGAGATTAAGTTCCTCTAGGAGAGAACAAGTTGAGGAATGACCTGGAGGGAGGGGCGGGGGCTGTTTAGGGAAACACTGATCAGACAAGCTCCACTCTGGGCTTCAGGAGCAATGCTCTTTCCCTCGCTGTGTCTTTTCTTGCTGCTTGTCTTCCTGAGTGGATCATGACCTTGGCCTTCCAGATGAAGGTGTGTGCTAGAGAGGAAGAACTCAAAGACGTCTAATGTTGGTGGGGTGCCGTAGAACAGCAAGGCACAGGAGGACTCCTGCCCAGATGTCCAGCCGGGTGTCAGGACTGGGTTCCACCCAGTGCTTGGGGCCAAAAAATCAGCTTTTAGTAAAAATATTCCTTTGCTGGCTTTCTGCTCTATGCAGATCTCGCCCAGGATCTGCAACTTCAGCAGATACCTAGAAGGTTCTTAGCATCAGATTCTGATCAGCTTGGGCTCAAGTAATATAAACAAATGCTCAAACAGCACTACCTGTATAAATTCTGTTTGGATGAATTCCTACTACTCTGGTCTCTACTAATACTGAATGTTGCTGTATCTGTGGGCTAAGCATTTCTCTCTCTCTCTCTTTTTTTTTAAATTTGCTTTTACCATCTCAAGTTACTCTTTTTTGAACAGAGCTTTAGGCCGTTAGAATACCAATAAAGAGTTGGTATATTTGTTCTGTGTTTTGTGGTGATCTTTTTCAAAATCAAATACTTTTTAATGATAATAATAGCAGTTACTATATTACTTTGCCAGGGCTGCTACAATAAAACCACAGACTGGGTGGCGTAAATAACAGAAATCTATTTCCTCCCATTTCTGGAGGCTGGAAGTTCGAGATCAAGGCATGAGCAGGTTTTTTTTGTTTGTTTGTTTTTATTTTCTCCTGAGGCCTCTCTCCATGGCTTGCTGTGTCCACACACGTGGTCTTTGTGCTTAAGCACTCCGATGTCTCTGTCTGTGTGCTAATCATCTCTCCTTCTAAGGGCATCCGTCATCTTGGATTACAGCCCACCCTAAAGGCCTCATTTTAACTTAATTACCTCTTTAAAGACCTTGTCTCTATATATGATTCCATTCTGAGGTGCTGGGAACTAGGGATTCAACGTATGAATTTCAGGGGACGCCATTCAGCCGATAACAGCTACCATTCTTTATTTCTGGCACGTATGATTCTAATAACTTGGTATAAGTCAAGTTCAGGGTTTTTCAAACTCAGAACACTATTGACATTTTGGTCCAGATGATTCCTTGTTGGGGTGGGGGCGGGAGCCTGTTCTGCGCATGGCAGTATGTTTAGTGTCATCCCTGGCCTCCGCCTATCAGAATTTAATAGCATTTATTCAGATATTAATAGCATTTGTGACAACCAGAATGTTCCTAGACATTGTCAGATGCCCCCAGGGGGTGGAACTGTCCCAGTTGAGAACAATTGATTAAGTCTAATCTTTAATATTGCAAGGCAGCTTTTTTTTTTTAACTTTCTATCTATTTTTATTTTTTAAGATAAATTTTAACATCCCCACTTTATAGAGGAAGAGACTGAGATTAAGAGAGGTTGAAAGACTGGCCAAGGTCACTCAGAAATTAAGTGTCAGAGCCAGGATTTGAACCCTGATTATTTTTCCTGTGACATTAAGCTGCTCATTAGTGGCTGTCCTACACCCCTTCCACCTTCACCATGGTGTCTAACCCGGTTAAACCAAACTTTGAAATGTTGGCCTGAAAATAATTACTAATTAACCATGTGGTGATACTTTATTTTCTCTCCTTGTGAAAATCCAAACCATAAATTGATAGTGCCTTGCTCAAACACTGACCTAAGGCTATTGCAGATGGTCAGCCTGACATCACACTTTATACTCTAAGACGGTTATTGGTAATTGAGAACTAGACAGACGATGACAGTTTAAGGGCCATAGATTATAAATCTTAGCTTAATCTAACCATCCATCTACTCCTAAAATGTATGGCACCCAATTTTAAAGATAAAAAAGAAATCAAGAAGATAAGTTGGGATATTGCCTTTGACTTACACAAAGAATTAGGTACAGAATTTGGACTTAAGCTCTACCTTGTGAAAAATTGCTTCGAAATAAAAAATGCCTGAGACCAATGCAACCCCCTCAAAATGTGACAACTTCAGGGTGGATTTCAATTTTTCTTAAAAGCCCAGATGTTCATCAAATATTGTCTGAACTTGTAATAACCTCCAGAGAAGAGGGAAAACTAAATGATCATGCAAGTGTATATGCTGCGGTGTTTGCCAGAGATCTCTTCCTAACTCTTGAAAGGTAATCTTTGCCTCTCCACCACGCAGCACAAGACTTGATTAACTTTATCTTAGCATACCAATAAATGTTGTATTGGCCATAAAAACAGTCAGCTCTAGTATAAATCCTACTCCAGTATTTAATTCCTTGACCTTCTGTGTCAGATTCCCAGAAGCAAACTACATGCTCTGTGAAGTGTCTCCTTTTTATTGGCTCTAAATTTACCGTCTGATCACTTTGTAGCTCCTACACTCATCTTGCCATGAGACAACATAAAAAAGGACTGTTCCAGAGACCTTCATGTTTTGGAACATCTTTATCTGTCCTACTCCGACTATTCCCTATGCCCTGACTCTTCCATATGGTAATGAATCTCCTGGGGAAGGTGCATTTTTTTTTTAATTCAGAGTTAAAGCAAATGAGAGAAAATCCTCATTTCAATGGAGAATGATATCAAGCTAAATCCTCTAG